TTCTCTATCATGCAAGTTTAAGGAAAATCACTGTACTATTAATGACTAGACTTACTCTTATACAATAGTCAGTTTCTCCTTCCTTCATATAGTACAGAGGAGTGTAGGTAGTGTAGCTTGGTTTTATGTTGAGCTTCTTTTCAGCCTTTTTCTTCATCTCTTCAGCAATGCTTCTAACTTCAGGAGTAACAGGCAGTGGATAATGAGCCTCTAGTGGTACATGTTGCACATAGTCTGGTACATACACAAACCCGTCTGTGGGCAGTGAGATTGTGACTGTCATATAGAATTCAGAAAAGAAAGGGCATATAAGTCAATCAATTTATGCATCACACTATCTTGTAGTCTCGCACAGCCAGACCATTTCCCAGCCTACACAAATGACTGTAGGCTGGGGAATGGTCTGGCTGAGCGAGGCTAGCTATATATCTGTGACTACTATACAAAAATGCATTGCCAACATCAATAAACATTTCCTGTTGGTACTGGCATCTACATCAGTTGCTTTCATTTTATTATTGAACTTTGCATTAAACTAATTCTATTATGACCTAGGGCATACAGAGATACTACTTTCAGTGAGGATTTTAAAATCCAAAAAATGTTGTCTGGCCAAAGAAACTTTTGATCAGACATGTATGCTACCCTCATTTTAATTGACATACTGGTACATTGCACATGTAATAAGCACTTTTTGGCTGAACATAATGTGAGATAAGAGACACTTTCTACCAGCCAAATTAAGTAAATGGACAGGAAAATGGCTGGTGTAAGACTGTTATAATCCCTACTGAGTGATAACGATGACTTTTGCAAGTTGCAACAGAGTGTATGGTAGCAGGGATAAACTATAGTATTTGTTATCACTGATAGATGGATAAAAAGTACTTCTATTATGAGCATCATAAAAATTTGTACTTTGCGAGAGAATGTCACGGTGACATTGGACTTGGGTGCATTTTTTCTAGATACATTTGTCCAGTGATATTAAATTAACTTACCCTCTTGAACCAACTCTTGAACAACAGGTATTGAATCTAACTTCTCAACTACAGCATTCTCATTCATCGATTTAAGAGCACCTGACAGTGAGTTAAAGCTAGCTCCTCCTTTACTGTCAACACTATCAGCTCTGGACAACCACTTGGAGAGGAATTCAGTTAAGCAATCATCTGTTGTGTCATTGTCCCTTTTAATGGCGTCCAGTGTGTCCTTATGTAGTCCTACTGTCAGTCCCAGCTCATACCATCTTGTCTGAGGGAAACCACATCTCTCCAATAGATCAGCAACATAAAACAGTTGATCTAAACAAAAGAAAACATGTATAATTGTTATAATAATTGTATAGATAGTCAATGAATACCTATTGTCAGCTGAGAAGATGAGAGAAGAAGTTCAGTAGGTAAATTTTTAGATGCAGCCATAGTGGATGCAGAACTAAAATTAGCATACTTAGGGAAGGGCTAGTCAGGAGTCATATTATGAGACTATAATGAGTTAACCCACAATATGGCGGGAGATACTACTACATGTATCTCTGATGCATTTAATGTTCTTAATTTCTTTTTCATCTTTATTAATTAATTTATTAAACAGATTGATAGGTCTCTTAAAGAATTTGATGGTGGATTATTATCAGTTAGTAGCATATTTATACTTTATTGTTCTCATCTCTCCCTGTTTCTTTCATTTTCTCTCTTGTCCAATGTCCATATCAACGTTAAATACAATTAATCTATTCCTGAGGTCAATCCTCATTGGGCTAGTAGTCTATTTTTCCTACAGCCGCCTGATCATCAGTCACCTATACAATTTCAAAGTAAGACTATTATGATTTTATTTTTCCAAAAAATGGCTCTAAAATCACCCCCAATTTTTATTGCATTTTCTGATACTTATTGATATCCTTATGCTGTGTAGAAGTTTGAGGTGATTCTGACTTCAATTTTTCAAGTTATGGCCATTTTTAATAAAATTATAATGGCCAATTTTTAAAAAATACCCAAGGCTATAGCCCATGGCTTTTCCAAAAAATGGCTCCAAAATCACACCCAATTTTTATTATATTTTTTGATACATATTGATGTCCTTATGCTCTGTAGCAAGTTTGAAGTGATTCCGACAAGATATATATATTCAAGTTATACAACCATTTTTTTAAATGGCCAATTTTTGAAAAATACTCAAGGCTATAGCCCATGGTTTTTTCCAAAAAATGGCTCCAAAATCACCCCAAATTTTTATTGCATTTTCTGATACTTATTGATGTCCTTATGCTGTGTAGAAAGTTTGAAGTGATTCTGACTTCAATTTTTCAAGTTACAGCCGTTTTTAATAAATGGCCAATTTTTGAAAAATACCCAAGGCTATAGCCCATGGTTTTTTCCAAAAAAATGGCTCCGAAATCACACCCAATTTTTATTGCATTTTCTGATACATATTGATGTCCTTATGCTCTGTAGCAAGTTTGAAGTGATTCCGACTAGAAATTTTCAAGTAACAACCATTTTTTTAATGGCCAATTTTTGAAAAATACTCAAGGCTATAGCCTATGGTTTTTTTTCAAAAATGGCTCCAAAACTACCCAAATTTTTATTGTATTTTCCAATATATATTGATGTCCTTATGCCGTGTAGAAACTTTGAGGTGATTCCAACTTCTATTTTTCAAGTTATGGCCATTTAAAAAAAATATGCCAATTTTTCAAAAATACCCAAGGCTATAGCCCATGGTTTTCCAAGAAATGGCTCTGAATTTACCCCAGATTTTATGACATTACTGTAATAAAATCTGTTCCTGCAACTGTAAGGAAACAGTTGCAGGAAAAGTACACCAAAACAGCACAGCATATTTTTAAAAGATTAGAGGAGTTCCTAATAGAGACAATAGAATACTAACTAATGAAATTCTTTGTATGTAGATTTGTCTGTTTTATTGCAGTGCAGGAAGTACATCAAGTGTTAATGGTTATGGGTGTGGCTGAGTGAGAAAGTTAAGTGAGTGTAAACATGGCCATTTCTTTTGCTCGTTGTTTTCTGTCGAGTGTCTCCGTTCGCTCCATCTCTAGTATAGCTGTGAGTGACTCAGGCTCAAGGCTGAAGGTCCATCTTGAAGTAAAAGGGAGCGTGGCAAAGGAGTACAGCAGCTTATGGCTACGGCATAACTGTCAGTGCGAGGAATGCTATGATAGTCTTTCTTCTATGATGAAGGTACATCCAAACCAGCTGTCAGAAGACATTGTGATACATAAAGCAGACATTAAAGGTAGTTATAATAGTAATTGTAAATTAAAACACTATTCTGTATTTTTTTTGTTATTTTAATGCCCTGTGATCACCCATTACATTTTCTGTTGTATATCAATGTCCTTATGCTATGTAGAAAGTTTGAGCTGATCCCAACAAATACTTTTTGAGTTATTAGTCAATATCAGATACTATATGAATGTCCTAAGATTTTTCGTATTTTTATTATTCATTACGTCTAGATGATGTTATACGCATAAATTGGAACTCACCAAACTTTGGTAGTCATGAAGGAATAATTCCCCTCCAATGGTTAAAGAACTTACACATGAAACAAGAATCACGCAAAGACTCCAAACCTCTCGTTGCTGTAAGACGCAGATTCCTCTCTGCCTCCTTTCTCTGTTTTGTTATTATTTCTTTTGTCTTATAGGCTTCAATTCCTGTTCTAGAGTACAGTGATGTTATAGATTCTGATGAACACACATACCAGTATGTTATGACTGTGGTACACTACTTGTATTAGTATTTTGTGTCATTTTAACAATGTATTGTGTTTTATAATGTGTCATTCACATTGATTTTTTTTATAGATGGATAAGAAACCTCAATTATTTTGGTATTTGTCTCATTGAGAATGCTCCAATAACTACTGATGTATTAGAAAAGGTACAGTGCAATGTCTCTACTCACAATAAATAGTTTTAATGATGGTTTAACTTTTTAGTTGGTCGGAAAGTTTCCACATGTACAGCCTACAACTTATGGAAATGTAAGACATTATCAAGTTAACTTGTTTGTCATTTTTCCAATAAAACAATCCTCATGTATAAATCATTTTTAAAGAACATTATTTTTTGTCCTGTTAGTATCCACTCTTGTATGCCAAGGATGATCCAACTGATCTTGGTTTCAGTACATCCAACCTACACTTCCATCAAGACTTATTGTACTATGAGTCACCACCTGGCATTGAATTGTTCCACTGCGTTAGGTACGTACATTATGCTACCGAAAATACATTAAATGGGATATAGCAGGCAAAAATTCAGCATTGGTTGCCATTAAGATAAGCGACCTTAAACACATAAAATCAATCATTACCGTATAAGTGGTTTTTTTCGAGGGAATTATATTTCGCGAAATCTGCTAAAATTCCAATTTGCGGATTTTAATTTCGCAAATTCTACCACATGCGCCATGAGGGTACTGTATTAAATTGATTTTCGCGAATCAGGAGGGAATCCACGAAATTCGCGAAATTTACAACCCTCGAAAAAAAACCACTTATACGGTATCATGGTTTCTTTGTTTTGATAGTAAGTGTATACCAAAGTTTTGATACAAAGTCACTATTACATGTTTGTGATCTCATACTGCCAACTGGACCGTTTTCACCTGCTAGGTCACATATACTTTTAATAATGCAGATATTTAAGTATTATAAATCCTTCAATAGTAGCCCAGGAATCTTTAATGCTTCTATTAGAGTAATCTCCTATACTTTATACAGGCTTATATTTCTGTAATACATGTAGCCCTCAGGCTTCTAATTAAAAAAGAGCTTTTATTTGAGGATATACTGTACCAGTAATAGACAATGAAGCATATAATTATAATCTTGTTTCTCTTCCTCTATAGAAGAGATTCTTGTGTTGTGGGAGGTGAGAATATATTTCTTGATTTCTATCCAGTCCTGGAAGAGCTCAGACAAGAGGCCCCTCAGTATTTTGAGGTCCTCACTAAAGTACCGGTTTCATTTCAGAGACGACATTACATGAAGTGAGCCTTTACAGTACAAAAATAAATTAAATATATGTAGTTATTATAGCATTTTTGATGAATCGCCGTTATATTTTAGTATTCTTAATGTTTCATATTAATTTTATTTATTTTATAGGAATGATGTTGAGACCCCATCTGATATGAGCATATCACGCCCACACATTCAATTGGACAGATATGGAGAGGTATAAGAGGATTATTAATACAATACTTTAATGAACATTAACATACACATACCCACTATACATAATACACATAATTGTATTCTAATACTGACAGGTTGCTGCTGTTAATTGGAACACTCATCACCAAGAACCTGTAATGCTGGATGATCTGGTATTTATTATAAGTTTCATTTCTATTGTATCATTGTATCTCATTCCTTGCAGGATCTACTGGATAGCTATTATAAAGCTTTCTTATACATGTCAAGGAAAATCGAGAACTCAAAGTATCATGTAAGTGTCTTAATATTACTGTTACAATCAATTTTTGATCTTAATTGCTTAGTTAAGTTCTATTATTAATAATGATTATATTTCTGTAGTTGGAGCATTGTCTGTTACCTGGACAAATCATTGCATTTAATAATCGTCGTTTCCTACACTCCAGAAACTCATTTCAACTGAACGGTGGATTCAGAAATTTTCATGTACAGTATAATGCACGCATAGAACACATGTACAAATGTAGTGGTATATAAAAACATTATCTGTGTACGTAGCCAAATTTTATTCTGTGATTGTATACTTGTGTACCAATGACACATGTTTAAAATTTAAATAATATTTATACATTTATCAATAGATACAACTGAATATATACTGTTCTCTTTTCATTATGTAGACTACCTATGTGAACATTGATTACCTCAGAAGTCAGTTCCTTGTACTTGGAAAGGCTTTAGGTTTTAACGAGAGCCCAAAGAACATTTTTATGTCTACTCTGTGAAATTTTGTACTTTTTATAATAACCAAATTAATATTTTTATTGATGCTAATCAGAATCTTTAACAATACAACAAAAAATAAGAGTTATTAAAACGTCAAGACCTAGCTCATGAAGCTCAGTTTACAATCATCAAAAGCAAATAAAATCAATTCAGTAATAAAAAATATAAAATAAAAATCATGACATCAATAGTAAAAACAAAAGTTCTAAAAAAATCATGTATATATACAAGTGGTAAAATAAAATATGTATAAACTTTGTAAAATATAAAAATGGTAAACATCACACACGTACAAAAACCATACAAAAACAATTAGTTGGAAGCATGCTCTGCAGCCTCTGCATTAGTGGTAAGATGCTTCATGACATCTTGAGCCACTGCATGAGCTCCAATAGCATCAGACTGAAGTACCTTAATGACAGTACCCCATGTGTATGTGTCAGGATCATTGTCCTTCCACCTATTAAAAACAGCAATGAATCTATCAATGGGATCATGATAAGTATCATAGAGACTCTTTAAGAATCCATCATTCAAGTGAATTGCTGTTCCAAATTGATAGAACTTGTCTTGAATTTTTGCTGCTACTAGGTTAGTAAGATCAACAATATCAGGAGTAGAGTTGACTTCTGTAAAAGTGGATTGAATGACAAAACTGTATGAAATATGGAACACAACTTACTTGGTGCATGTATTTCTTGTTGAATGTCTTCAGGTTTAAGATGGTATTCTTCACAGAGACTACAATAAACTCCCTTGTAGTGATCTTCTTTATCTTCTGGTTCTGGTTCAGGTACAGGAGGAGATTCAAAATAATCTTTGACTCTGTGTGCTAAATCTTTAAACCCAATCTTAGCAAGAGCTACTGCTAAAGGCTCCCATGATTCTGATCTGTTCTCATTTCTCCAGTGAATTATAACTTTTCTAGTACGTTGGATAGAATCAATGCTTGTTAGTCCAATGTCCTGCAGCTGACCAATTGTAAGGCCTAATCTGTATCCAAAATCAAACCATTTTTCTTTTAAATCTCCTTCACTTGCAATAATACAAAGACAGTCCCCCAGTAACAAATCATTTTCTAAAAATTTAAGAAAACAGTGATATTAAACTGAATAAAATTGTACCTACCATATGTCATTAGATCAATACCAGATCTAGTACTACTTGCAGATGAGGTCGGAGAAAGAGGTAATTCTATGGAACCTTCTAACAGAATTGTGTTTTTCACAGGAGGATGAACTTGATTGAAGCGAACAATCACTTTTTGACTTTTTTCCACTACTGCATCTGATGTAAACTGCATTCTAAAACGAGGAGGATAGGAGAGCTTCTTTTCTAACAACTTAAGCCGTTTCAGCTCCTCTTCAGTGACTTCTGCAACATTTTCACATCCCATCATTTGATAATAATCAATATCTCCAACAGAAATCTATAATGATGAAGATATAGTCAATATTATAATTTATGGCATGTTTATTTAAACATACATAGTCTTTGGAAAACCCAACTTCTTTTCTTTTCCAACCAGGGACACTAGGTGGCTCAAAAGACAGTGATACTTGACCATCACCAGTAAATGTGACTGGTTCATATGATAATATCTTAAATCCTTCCTTAGCACACTGCTCTTCAACAACCTATGAAGTATAAAGTTATTATTCTTGCACTTAAATTACCTCTGTGCAACCTTCTTGTTGGCATAGAAAAATAAATTGTACTGATAATTCCCTTCCATTTTTCTTATCAGCACGTGCTATTAAATACCTTCTGGGTATAAATTTGTATTCCCCTTTCTGGACAGCAACACAATTAGAGCAAAAATGAGGCGACAAAATTTTAAAAATTTGTAACCCAGAAGTAGATTCAGCCTGTGATCCACAATTTTCTTGGAAACTTATAACATCAGAGCAATCATCATCGTGAGCTGTTAATATAGTGAAATGTTGTAGATTGGTGTCACTGGAAATAGCAACATCATGTGGAATGTACAGTTCTGCACATTTATCCAGCTTTCTGTCAATGTGTACCCACACAATAGGAGTGACTGGTACATAATCACCAAACTTAAACTTATCACTGAAGAGACATGCTCCAAACCATACAGTAGCTGACTCTTGTACTGCTCCCTCTGGAATAATGAGAGTCACTCCATACTGAC